TCTTGTAGTCTGCATATTTTTTTTTTCTTGATCCAATCTGCCAGTCTATGTCTTTTGATTATGTGTTTGGCCAATAACATTCAGGGTTATTATTGAGACATGATTTGTATTCTCAGTCATTTTGGTTTATTTTTTTGTTTTTAACTTGACTTGATTTATCCTTTGATTGGCTTTTCCATTAGTGTCATTCCTCCCTTTGCTGATTTTCATTGCTGTTTTCATTTCCTCTTCTTGGAATATTTTGCTGAGGATGTTCTGTAGTGTGGGCTTTCTAGCTGTAAAGTACTTTTAACTTTTGTTTATCATGGAAGATTTTTATTTTTTCATCAAATCTGAAGCTTAGTTTTTCTGGATATATGATTCTTTTGGCATCCATTTTCTTTCATAGCTTGGTATATGTTTTTCTAAGATGTCTTGGCTTTGAGGACTGGGTTGAGAAATCTGCTAAGTTCAAATTGGATTCCTCCTATATGTAATCTGATACTTTTCTCTTGTGGCCTTTAAAAATTTTATCCTTGTTATGTATGCTAGGCATTTTTATTATAATGTGCCTTGGTGTGGATCTATTTTAGTTTTGTACATTTTTTATCCTGTAAGTTTCTTGTATTTGATTTTCCATTTTATTCTTCAGGTTTGAAAAACATGTTTTGATATTATTTTATTGAATAGATTACTCATTCCTTTGGTTTGTACTTCTGTGCCTTCCTCTATCCTGATAATTTTTAAATTTGGTCTTTTAATGTTATCCCATAATTCTTGGAAGTTCTGTTCATGATTTCTTGTCATCTTCACTCTATGGTCAACTTTATTTTTGAGATTATATATTTTGTCTTCATTGCCTGAGGTTATGTCTTCTAGGTGATCCAGTCTGTTTGTGACACTTTATTTGACTTTTTAATTTGGTTTATTGTTTCCTTCATTTTAAGGATTTCTGATTTTTTTTAGAATCTCTATCTTTTTATTGAAGTAGTCTTTTGCTTATTGAAGTGATCTTTTATTGCCTGAGTTTTCTCTCTTATATCATCCTTTACCTCACAGATCATTTTAATTCTGAACTCCTTCTCTGACATTTCTTTTACTGTGCTGGCAAAGGATCCTATTATTGTAGTATCTTGGTTTGTTTGGGGGCACTTTCTTCCCTTGTTTTGTCATGTTATTTGTGTGTATTTCCCTCTAGCAGTACAGATCCAAGGTGTTACAGTTTTTATCCTTTAGACTTATAGCGTCCCTGCAGGTTTCCAATTCCTTGCCTTGAAGAGGGAGGTCACTATTAACAGCACTCAGTGAAACAATACTCAGCCTTAAACCAAATAGTCTATTAGACATTTACAGTTTTGTCACAGTAAACAGAAAGGGTGTGTTTGGTTATTATCTACAATACAAGCAGTAAGTTTTCACAAGAGTCTACAATTTGTAATGATGGACAAAGGAAGATGGGAGGTGTAGGCTGAGATGTTAATGAGGTAGAAAGTGAGAATATAGAGGTATTAGATCATAGAAAGCATGAATGAGGAATCAAAAGAAGTTGGCTGTTAGCAGGAGAAAAGAGAGAAAGAGACTGGGGAGACAGATAAGTGGGAGGAAAATATAGCAAGTGAGTAAAATATTAAAAAGAAAAAAGTGTAAAAATAAAGGATAAAAGAATATACAACAAAACCATATTATACTATTCAGACATCCCAGTCCTCAGTTGCTGGGAGCCATTAGCCAAGTAGGTATGCAATTTTTCCTTGCCAGCGCACCCCATGTTAATTGTGGTAATGCTGGCATATCTTTGCTGATGGTGTCACCAGTGATGCAATTTTTCCCAAGGAGCCGTCAATTGGCTTGGTGTCGTGGCATTTCTGTATCCTCCTCCCTTCTGCTAGTGATGGTCTAAAATTTGGGGGCCAATGGCTTATGCTGGACCGGTAGTCAGTGACGGGTATGATCCAATTGCAGTGGTATCAACCTAAGACAGGAGGCTGACGCCTAAAGGTCAGTTTTCCGATGACGGGTAAGAACCATATGTTGAATTGGACAACCTACCAGGCACGGTCCATAAGCCACATTAACCTCACTCCCCCACTGGCACCAAGGCCAAATTTGGGGGCCAACAGAGGTGAGGCAAAGAACCTCACCCCCCCACTGGTGCATAGACCTATCCACAAGTATGGCTGTATGCTGGACCGGTAGTCAGTGACGGGTATGATTCAATTGCAGTGGTATCAACCTAAGACAGGAGGCTGACGCCTAAAGGTCAGTTTTTCCCATGACGGGTAAGAACCATATGTTGAATTGGACAACCTACCAGGCACGGTCCTTAAGCCACATTGCTTGTTGTTTAATTAATCAGAAGAGGGGAGATGCTGGGAGCCATTAGCCAAGTAGGTATGACAATTTCCTTGCCAGCGTACCCCATGTTGCTGACATGTTGCAGTGACATTGAATGTAGGTGACCTTGCTCAAGGACCAAGGCAGATTAGGGTGTTCCCGGTTTTAAGATAATCGTGTTTAGGGCGTTCCCAGTTTAGGTTCCAGGTTTAAGGTTTAAGATTATTCCTGCTGGGAATAGGGCGTATCCTGCTGCCTGAGTTCCCCTTGAGTTCTCACGAGATTTAGACAATATATTTTGGAGATAGAAGCCCAGTGGAGGTGAATTTGGGCAGAGAACGTGGATTTGGGCAGAGAACGTGGATTTCCCCAGAACGTGATTGTAGACGGCTGGTGTGAGTTCGGGAATAAAGAGTTGCTGTTTGAATCTACAAGCTGTGTGGTGGCTCGTGATTGTGTGCCCAGCCAGACTGCGGCATTTGTGCCCAGCCAGACTGCGGCACTCAGTAGCCCAATGCATGAAAAGTGCTTGGTTTCACAAATACTGGGGATGTGAGGGTGGGGAAAAAATCTCAAAGGAAAATTGAACAATTATGTCTGTTGGAGATCAATATCTTCCCTGCTTCCTTTCTCATTCAATTGTTGTGGTTGTCTGGAGTGGGCTGGTATTTCCACCTTCAGGATGGTGAAGGTTATTAGGGTGGGATGGGTGGTCTTAGTGGTAGAACTCCTTGAGGTGGGGTATAGCACTTGCCAGTCCCCATTGGAAGATCCCCAGGAATCTCCTTTGGGGTCCACTCATGTGATGTGGGCACCTGATCTTAGTTCCTTATATTGCTTATGGTCCCCACAGTTCCTGTTCTCTAATTTAGTCTCTAAACTGTATCTCTCTCACCCCTGCCCTTTCTACTTTCCATTCAGGAATCTCTCTCTCCAGAGGTCCTGGGGGCTGAGCACAGGGATCTGCATGACTGTTGTGGAGAGATGTTTTGTATAGAGCATTTTAGGACTTAGCATTGAGAGCTGGGGGCCAGCCAAGTAGCTGCAAGCACTGGGCTGGGTTGGTGGCCTGGGGATGGGGAGGGTCGGGGTATTGGGCCCGTGTCCCAAGATAGGAGTTACCCCAAATAAAGATGGCAAATGGGGTATCTGAAATTTCTTTTCTTTGATCTCCATTTTATTCTGTAATTCCCAGGAAAAGCTTAGCTTCATTTTCTTATAATACCACTCATTGTAGTTAGTTTCTAAGTTATAATTTTTCTGCTGGTCACATTAAATGTAATGTTCTGATTGCAACTGCATGCCTAGCCGTAGTTATGAATTATCATTCAGATTTAGGAACAAAGAGTTTCTTCTGAAATTCAGGAATGATAGTGAAATTTTTTCAATTTCTTTAAGAAATTTCAAAATTTCCACATTAATAGAAATATATTTTTTCAATGAAGTTGAGATACTATTTCTGTTTTGCTCTGGGTTCATCAAACTTCCCCTACATTAAGCTAAGAAAGCTGAAATAATAATCAAGAGTGATAAACTGGATTTAGGAATTGTGTGGAGCCATAAATGTCATTACAAAGGATAAATCCAAATTTCATTCTCTCCAGAGTAGAATAGCTTTGGAGATGAAGAGAATCTTTTGAGGCAGCTATAATTTCAGCACAGTGGTTGACTCACATTATGTAAAATAAAATGCTATAATTCATTGAAAAGTAGCCTTACTGATATGCATATTCATGACTTAAGTGATAAAGTAATTTTCATATGAGAGACATTATTCTCTTTAGAAACTGGGTCATGTACAAGTCATTCAAACTTTGTTGCACAAAAAGGACAACATGTATCCTTGCAAGTTGCTTATTCATCATCACTTTATTCTCCCCATCTCTGGGAGTGGAATGGTTACTTATCTTGCTGTGCTGATATGAGAGTTGATTTAAAATAGCACATATAAAAATCCCTCAGGACAATTCTGAGGACAAAGTAAAAATACAAAAAAATCACTAAGTTAATTTTCATGATTTTTATTGCTTCATGGTGACTTCTACCTTTAGAAATGCTAGGGCACATAAGGAAAGACTGCTTATTAGAACTGTGGCAGAATGCAAAGTAATGATGAATTTTATATGTATATTTGTCCTTTCTAGTCCATTCTAAGACATTACATTTATATTAATATAATGCATAATTATTGAATGATAAAATTATGCTTCAATTTATATGATTACATTAAATGATGTAAGTCATATTTTTTATCATGTTCTGAATTTTCTATAATGTATTCATTAGCAAATTCCTTGCATCTTTTGTTAGTATAAGGTAGAAGAAGGGGAATGATAAAGAAATATATCCTCAATAAAATGAGGAAATCATAATGGGAACTATGATTAAGGAATTGAATGATTTTTCATATAAGATATTAATTCTTATAAAGCCAGAGTTATTGTGTCAGAGGCCAACAGAGACAGTTCACAGATAGTCTAATTAATGTTTCAGATGCAACTGGATCAAATCTTTAAAAGACTAAATTAAAGCAGTCATTTTCATAGAGGAAATTGTAAGTTGCAGAACAGGGCCCTCATAGTGAGTCTCTGACTACCAACTGATGATGATTTTCATCTCTGATGCTGATTGGTTCTTCAACACTAAGATTATCAAGTCTAACATCAAACAAATGAACACCTTGGTTGTTATTATTTGGGATGTAGGTGATAAGGGCCATTGTTCTCACTGAGTGGCACTTGCCTGATCCTCTGTCATCCATCCTTTCCTGCTCTCCAGCATGGTGTGTCTGTGGCTTCCCAGATGCTCCTGTATGGCAGCTCTGACTGTGATATTGATGCTGCTGAGCCCTCCTGTGGGTTTGTCCAGGGACACCCGCCGTAAGTGCATACCTTGGGTGCTGAGCTGATATTGGGGGAAGGGGGAAGGATGGGAGTTAACTTTCACACTTTGTCCAGGCAAAATCCTTCAAAAATTTGTGAGTTTTCTCTGTAACTGCTTATCTTTATCACATGAGTCTCAAATTACACACATACACACACACACATACACACACACACACACACAAGCCCAGATGCTGTCCTCTCTATGAGACCTGTGCAGAGGACCTCTGTATACACCATTTCTTCCCAGCTCCCTGAAGTAGAACCTCTCTAGCATCACATCATATTTCCTTAGAGACTTGAGGAGACTTAGAAATAATGATGTTTTAAAAATTCCCCTATAGCACTTCCCTTTATTGTGTTCAATTATGCCAGAAACAAGGAAGAAAGAATTCTCTGAAAATTTTTATGGGAGTCTAAGGGAATTGGAAGGGTTTCTGTTGGAGGATCCTGTGCTACGAACTCACCAGCATCCATGAGGTTGCCACCTCTGTCTCAAGTGTGAGGATATAACAAGAGGTATCCTCCATTATCTTCTCTTTCTTCCCAAAATTCAGTGTTTATGAAGTATAAACATTCAGTACTGAAACCCTGTACTGCAGATGCTCCAAGGAAAGTTAGGTTTAATGCTCTCTCTTTCTCCTATGGAAAGCACCCTGAAACTCAAGCAGAGCACTTAGACCTTGGAATAAACCTGTAGTTAATGAGCATCTTCTGAAAAAAATAAGTTAGTACTTTTAAAGATTCTTTTAACTTTTTCTTTTCTTCTTTCCTTCCTTCTTCCTTTCCTTCTTTCCTTAGACAAGTATTCACTATGTTGCACAATGGCTGAACACATGGGCTGAGACTGTCCTCCTTCCTCAACCTCCCAAGTCGCTAGGATTACAGGCGTGGGCCTCCATGACTGGTTTATGACTCTGTTTTGAATCTTTCTATACCATCAGTTTCTCCTACACCTCTCATGTCTCTGAATTGAACCTACAGGAAGGAATTCAACAGTATAATATAAAGTATATGACATTCTATTTTTTAAAGAAATCATAAGTTTCATATGGTTCAAATTATAATTCTGACCAGGGGTACAGAGAGTGTGAAGATTGTTATCGTCTCATGGGATGAGAGTCAGTAAGTAAAGGGAACTCATTGATCTACTGGAGTTTTTCCCCAAATTGTTACCTACTTTGTACCCTCTATTATCCTTAATTAGCCATGTCTGGTTACTCTATTCTTTCCCCAGAGATGTCATTATCTTATTCTGCTTTGTACTTCTATGACAGAAAACCTAAGAATGTCTATTTGATGAAGGCAGAGATTTATTACTTATAGATCTGGATACTAGGAAGTCTAATGTCAAGGGGTTTTAGCTGAGGTGTGCCTGCTTTTATATCATCCCAAGAAGCAAAGAGGAAAGCAAATGTGCGTGAGAGCATGAGAGAGAGATTTCTTTTTATAACAAATGCAAATTCATGATAATAAATCCACTCCCATGAAAAAGTTCATTAATCCATTCTTTAGGACAATTCCCTCATGACCTAATCACTTCTTAAACGTTCCATCTCTCAACACTTTTCATTTGTGCATAGTGTTATCAAGCATGAACTTTTTAAGAGAGATATTCATACCATAACATTCATCCCTGGTTCCCCAAATTCATCTCCTTCTCCCATATAAACTTTATTTATATCATACCCATCACCCCGAAACACTTAACTTATTGCACTATCAACTCAAAAGTCCAAAGTCCAGAGTCTCATTAGTTCAGATATGGGCCAGATTCATGCCAGGATTAATACTGAGCAAATTTCCCTCCAGCTCTGAAGCCTCTGAAGCCTCTTTCCAAAAGATAATCATGAGACAGGCCTGGAATAGGTATTCTCATTCCAAAAAGGAGAAGTAGGCAAGATGAAGGTGTTAACTGGTCCCAATGTGGAAAACTGCATTAATTCTAAATTCTGGAGAAAAATCTTTGACTCCATGTCCCACATGATACCCTGGGTGGAGTGGCCCCCAGGGCCTCGGGCAGCCATGCCCCCTTGGCTTTGCTGGGCTTAATGTGTCCAGCAGCTCTTATGATGAAGTCTAGTGCCTAAGCCTTCCCAGGATTGAATTTCCCATGTTTCTGTGGTCTCAAGGGCTATACTACATTACCTTAATGAGGACTCTGTGGTGGCCTCTGCTCTATGATTCCTCTGGTTCATACTGTAGTGGGGGATCTCTGTTTTAGTTCTGTTCATGCAACATGCCTTTTCCTGAGTCCCCAAGCTGTCCAGTGAATCCTTTGAAATCTAGTTGAAGACCATCATGGCTCTGCAGTTCTTGCACTCAGGGCACCCACAGAATTATCATGACACCGATGCAGGCAAATTAAAGCTTGTACTTTCTGGAGTGGTAGGTGAAACCACATCCAAACTCACTTGAACCCTGGATTGGGAGGATAAGGGGCACTCTGCTAGAACTCACAGAGCAGAGTCACAAAGCAGTAAAAGCTGAGGTCCCATGGGCACTTCTCTGAAAACCTTGCCTTCAGGTCTTAGCTTGACTAGAAAACTTCTGAAATGATTCAGAGCCATTCTGCTATGGTCTCAATGACTCAAACCTGGTTTCCTTTTATCCATATTAATCTCTTTAGAAAAGAGTGGCTTGGGCACACCTTTGTATTTTCTCCTGAACATGCTTTTTATTATTTACATGGCCTTACTAGGAATTTTTCAAATATTTCCATTTTGTTTCTCATTTAATTATCAATTGTCGTTTTAAATCATTTGTCTTCTCTCACTTTAGTATAAACAGCCAAAAGAATTTATTGCTTGAATATTGCTTTTGACATCCTAATTCATTCATCTAAAGTCCTGCTTTCTACAGAGTCTAGGATATGAACATCATCCCATCAAGTTCCTTGCCACTGTATTATACTCGTTTCCAACACCTTGTTCCTCATGTCCAACTGAGACCTCATCAGAATGGTCCTAATTTGTATTTCTAAGAACATTCTAATCACAATAAGTCTAGTAATCCCTGTCAATCAAAATTCATTTAAAACAGGCTCAAGAGAAAAGAAGAGGCTTTATCTAAGTAAACAAAAAATAGCAAGTTTGCAAACCAGGGAGTCAAAATGAACATGTACTGCAAAGTAACAAAGAGAGGGAGGGGTTAACTTATAGAGGAATTTCCAGCCCAAGTTCTTACTGTGGTCCACTTTATGCAAATGAGGGTTGCAACTGTGCCCATTCCTGATTGGTTCATATTTACATATAGCTGTAGGTCATAGTTCATTGGTAAAATTCAGGCAGCAAAATGAGAATTCCCAAAATATGTTTGTCTTGGCAATCGAAACAAGAGCAGTAGGTCCATAATGTTCAGGTTGTGGTTCTCCCCAGAACACAGACCATGTGTATGACACCCAGTCAACAAATGACTGCAAGATTTCTTTCTGAATTCAAGCCCAATTATTCATCTGAGATCCTCCTTGGAAATTCAGCCTTTCTTAAAGGAAACATTCCTCCATTTTTATGGAAACTTCTCATCGGGCAGCATTTTGATTGAATAAAGCATTTATGTCCCACCATGGTACCAGAGTCATTTGTTACCTTCTCTGGATGAAGCCTGTCCCACTTCTATATCCAGATGGAGGGGCAGGCAGTGACCAACTGAACAATTGGAGCCATATACTAATGAGGGGCATCCTGATAGATATCTGTCACATCTAAATCAAAGTCTCTTAGTTAGAGTTGGTTCCATTTTTTAGCTGGAGAGAGCCCAGAATGTTTAGGCTGACTTAATAGGATTCTGGTGGGATTCTCTTATATTCATCTGTTAAAATAGGCTGAATAATTTTGAGAGAGGGGAAACAAATATTTGACTCCAATATGAAGAGAATAATTTAAAACTATAGGGTAGAACCCAAGAGGAAGTCAATGTCAAATGATACTGAACTGAAAATATCTGATAATTAGAAATTTAACCAGCTAAGGGGACTTTTGAAGGTATTCCTTTTAGGGACTTAGCCAATTGTAAGGTTTGGAAGGTTGCAAATCAACCTGTCTAGAAGTATTTATACAAGTACAGCATAAGATACGTGATACAGCACAGACACCACTCTTTGCAGTAAAGAGGTAATTTAATGCAATGTGGTTACCCAGGTCTACATAGGGGAATCCTACTATCTCCATTGGGCTTACTGAGCTGAGTGGTAGAATAGGTGGTTCTCCTGAGTGCAGGAAAAGTTTTTGATGATAGTGACAACTCCTGGCCAGGATCCCAATATTCTTCTTGCCCATCTCCTGTGATGAAACCCACCTGGTAAACCACACCCTTGAAATGTTCACTGCTGTCATACTCATAATCCAACAGGTTGTCATCATGGTGATCACCTGTAATAATGGAAGTTCTCTTTACTCCAGGATAAAGACCTTAAGTATTGTGAATGGGGTAATAAGTTGTCCTAGAAGAAAAGTTCCTCCTGTTTTCCAAGTCCTGGGATACTTATAGATCCAAGAAGCATCTTTTTGCCCAGGAACAAAAAGATCCTTTGGGGGTACACACAATGCCATTTAAATTATTTAAATTAAGAAAAAATGATATCAAAATAGGTTCTACTGTCATGGTTAACTAAAAGGAACCAATATAAATAAATAAATAAATAAATAAAAAGAATTGTTTGGAAGAGAGGAAAATATGGAATTATACCATAGTTTAGTAACATTGTGTTTACAACTCTTAATACTGATCTTCCTGTTCAGTATTTTTCTATAAAAAGCCCAACATGAGTTTTGGTCACACCAAACAATGGAGGTATTGTTACAGATTTTTATAAGATAAAATAAGGGTGACAGTTGGGCAGAGGAGACAGGAACAAATTGTTTCAAATTGTTTCAACTATTCCAAACAAGTATCCTTTCAGGATTGGAGCATTTCTAACCCACTTTGTGAATCATTTGAAACTGCAGGAGTATAAAATTAGGAGAATATATTTGTACATGAATAACAATTGACTTTTT